TGCAAAACTCAATACATGCAAGGTGAGTAGGAATCTGTAGGACGGACAGAAACTGGGTCAGTTTTCAAGGAGGGGAAAGAAGGCGAAACTACACGGTCAACACAGTCAAAGCGTGCATGCATAAATTTTCAGGTATTCTGGTCCCATAAGAAGTGATTATAAGAACGCCATTGCTTTCAGTTCACTGTCATATCCTACAGTGTCTCCAAACAAACACTTACGGAGCCTTTGGGACCTTAGCTTGAAGGACGGGATACACCCACTCAATCTAATCGGCAGGTGGATTTCTTCGTGTCTTGTCTTTATGTTATTTGTTGACCTCCACACGGCTTTCTACAGCCCGGTGCGGTGACTGCAAATAAAGCGATGCGCGGAAGGCGACTGTAAGACGTGCGCAAAACGGGCTCTAACCAGTGAAGCCTATTGGCCTGAACTCGATGCAATAGGGAATTTTTCATCGGCAAATGCCCAAACACAGGACAAATTGCATCCAGGTTACTAATCCGATTAATCCNGATTAATCCATCCCACCTGGGGAGACTACGTAGGCATCGATTGTTGAAAACCTCGAAACGATTGATGTCTTCTACCCGTAAATGAAATTTCTCAAAATCGTAAAACAGAACTGACCAGACGGTGGCACAACATACGCGACCTTTTAGTTACAGTGAAACGCCACATTATCGTCACATGTTTTTTCATTCCTGCGTACGCTGTTCGACACTTGGAAAGGCGTGAGACGATCTCTTTTACTGCCCGAGTACGGGAAGCTGTTAACATCAGCCAATTAATGACCAACTAGCTTCAGAATACTCAGTCTTGCAATATGACTTCACACTTTGAAGGTGTAAACCGCATGCCGAATTCAAATGATACTAGTCTGAACAACCATTACCAATTCCCCTGCACGCAGAGGTGGTGGCGGTTACCGACTTCCGGCTGCCCATTTGGATAGGTGCATGCCGAATGGTGCAATAGACCTTGACAGTCTGACAAATGCGCTTCTGCATCCTCTATACATTTGAACAGATGGGAGATGTTGTCAGATGTCAAACCACACAGCCTTCCTCCAGCTTTTCATTCAATACCANACATTTTGGAAACCACTTTGTGCTTATCTAAGACGAAACTTAGCAGGGTCGGCGAAACAGAGCGCTCTTGGCTACCAGCGCTCTTGGTTTCGAACGATCTACTTAGCTCGCCGTAGAATCTTGCGCTACCAGAAGTATGCGAATACTTCAATATGTGTGCATACTTCAGCGGCATTCCTCTGGAAATAAGCGAGTGCATTAGGCTTTGCGGTCAACTGAGTCGAAGACTCTTATGAAGTCAAGAAACGCAGCGATTGTTGATCAACGATGCGTATGGTAAAACTATGGGATTTGACGCAACGTGAAGGTTTGGTCGATACAATCACGAGCTAATCAAAATTCTGCTTGCCGTTCACGGATATTTATCTTCCCTAGGGTTGTCAGACATAGAAGTACAATGGGGGCTAATACTTCGTTGACGATTGGGATCAAACGCAGCCCACGGTAATTTTGGCAGTAATTGGGAGATCGTTTCTTAAGAACTGTTATTCACCCCAAGATGATGGAATGGGCCCTTTCGACTAAATATTAAGCAGTAAATCGTTAATCGAGGTTGTTTTCTCTGGAGCTTGAATGAACGATCTTACCACTAGTGCTCATGTGGGTGACACACGACACTATCTATGGAGATTTTAGTTTCAAAAGGTGAGATAACCTGGAAAGCACCAAACTATCTGAACTCTCCGTTGTAAAACTCCGTCCAGTGGTCAAATCATTGCTCCGTATCGTGAATAGCTTACCCATTTTGTCGAAAATTGTTTCACTAACTGAAGTTCGCCGACCTCCCATGATGCGTATCATTTGGAACTACCTCTGACTAATCCATGATACAGGGGCTAACTCCACTTTACTAGTTATTTTTGCCCACCAGTTCTCATGGTCCTTCTTGAGGCTCCTAGTATGCTTAAGTTCCGGAAGCCACCAATCCTTGTTTTGATCTTATTCGGTCGACATTGGTTGTTCCTTTTCTTCCTCACGGCTACTGACTCATCAGATATCCAATGTCTCAGACGGGATTAAGGCTTAGATTCACAAGCAAAGCTCCATGCAGGGTGCATTGGTCATCTAATCCGATCACACTTCACCGACATTACACACTGCAGCGTACGTAACTCATGCCATAGAACGAACATCCGAGCTAGATAAGCGACGATCTGCTAACTCGATTAGCTGGTTTTGTCAGAAATGCGGTTGATCAGTGCATATGCTAAGATGATGAACTTCCTCCGGACGCCGATAGACCCCCTATTGAACATGGGTTACTCGACAAGGATCCAATCGATTAGTGACGCTTTGTCCCTATTACGGAGTACAATGTCGACTCCACGCTGACTTGCTGAAGGGGATCCATCGTCGCCTGCTCTGTGGAGGAAGTACTTCAAGGACCAATGCGACATTTTTACGTGGCTTAGAGTACCAAAATCCTAGAGTTGTGTCTCTGATACGCAGAAGAAATCGATCCACAGAGGCTATGGTACGCACAAGACAAGCTTCTTGATCCAACTGCATGGTTCCTCCTAGACTCTGATTGACGACGTCTCGGAATCTGAAATTTTTTAGGTGGTTAACTGCTTACAGTGCTCTTCCAGCAAGCTTTGGCGGGTGACAAACAAGTTATTTGATGGAACGCTACGGGTCGAAAAGAGACCAAGAGAGGATTTGGTATACAAGACAGAATTAAAACCAAGTTTAGGTTGTTTAAACATCACTACTAAACCCGCTCGATGCAGTGGTCAGTGTCGTTTTGATAATCCTGCGAGACCACCGATACAATATAGAGCGTCATGGATGAGTACGGTTAGGGTGTCCAAACAATTAACAGGATGATTACGGTTCTCAGCCAAAGCCTTTTGTTCTAACAAGACCCTGATTACAAGGCAGCGGGTAAGTTAGAGTGGAGACCCACTCACTTCGATCAATCACCTCTTTGCCACTTTACTGACAGTGACAGCAACTAATTCAACCTCCAAACTGAGGAACCAAGAGGCTGAACTTGGTCGGACCTTTAACCTCTAGTTTTCTATGCATGATACCAACTTTTGGTTTAAAATAAACATTTCTCTGAGGCTCGATGTCACTAAGGTGCAAAAGCGATCACAAGTCAAGGAGCAATCTCTTTCCTCGATCACAGAATGACTCACCTTAGTGGCAGCCATAACGATTGTCGTGATTTGAGAACGATCACCCCATTCGGCAAGAAACGTAAGAATGAACGCTTCTGCCAATATTGGAGAAAACATCCTTCGAATTGTTACACGCACTTGTGTGGTAAATGAGGAGTCCGGCGTCGAGGATTCCAATTTGCCCAGCTCCGGATCTACCGTGTTTGATAGTTGTTGCTTTACTTCTTCATACTCCTCTTGTACATCCGACGGTGACATTTTATACGCTATATAGTAGGTAATCGATGATTACGAACTTACCATCAAACAACATTTTTATTCCAAAAATAAAGAAGAGAACTCCGGAGGTGTAGTACGTCAGTTTACGTGGTATGACCGTCGTTGCATACCCAAGCATGGCTATGAGGTCAACAAATGGAATAGATCAAGTTACCAGATAAAACCGTCATTGTCGCCAGTGCACCCATTGCCCCTGAATAAACAAGACACCTTGAATGTTGCATCGACATAATTGCAGCGATGAAAAATGTCTTGTCACCGAGCTCCGAAATAACTATCACATAAAGAGATGCATAGAAGCCATGCAAAAATTGATCCCAGAACTTTTGCGGAGCCACAGCATTGGGGTTAGCAACACTTTCCGCATCCTGGAAAATAGCCATATGGAAATCATTCCAGAGCACTTACATTTTTCTCCTCTGAAAGACTTCCGGGCGAATCAGATAAAGTTACACCTATGCAAAGAGCTATCGTGAGACAGCAAATGATATACAAATGGGACGGCATGACATAATACGTGCCCAAATCCAACAAAACGAACAACAAGCACGTAAATGCACAACCGTCAAGGTCAAGGTCAGTTCAGTCAGTCAGTCAGTCAGTCAGTTTGCACAGGACAGGAGATGGCCA